CTTTCTTCTCCTCAACCTTCTCTTCTCCACTGGGCTCACTCTTCTTCTCCTTGCCACTCTCCTCGGCCCGCTTCTTCTTTTCCTTCTTCTTCTCAACCTTCTCTTCTCCGCTGGGCTCACTTGTCTTCTTCTCAGTTCCTTTATTCTGCTTCTCAGCCTTCACTTCTTTGCTGAGCCCGCTCTTTGTCTCCTTCTGACCTTCCTTGGCCAGTGTCTTCTTCTCATCTCCTTCCTCCTTCTCCTCAGTCTTACCATCCTCAATATCATGCTTTTGTCTTTTCTTCGCGTGCTTGTCAGTTCCCATGGTGTCCTGTCCGAACTTACGGTTTGTTTCAACAGATCCCTTTGATAAATCTTTTGATAATTGAAATTGATAATCACATGTAAATCAAAGGTCCTTACTCGAGATCAAGTCGAGCTTCCCAAATTGGCAAAATGCCAAAACCACGAGCCACTGTGACACGCAAGTGACACGCAGGTCTCAATATATACAAGTGACCTTTTGATATCTTAAGTGACCTTGTTCTACCTTTAAGTGACCTTTTGATATTCGTAAGTGACCTTTTGATATTGTCTCGATATACCTCTGTGACACGCATTTGACACGCTCTGACACGCACTGTTCGGGCATATTTTTAATATGCGCATGCCACATATCGATATATCAAACATGACCACTCGGAAACTGCTGGAAGGCATTGATACAAATCAACGAGCTTTTGCACGGAGCCTCAATCCGGAGCTGGCACACCACAAATTTGCCTGGTGTGAAAATCAAATTAAGTACGGGATCTAATTCGATCTACGATATCATGGATCCATATGGATCCTGAAGTACCGGTTCCTCAAACTTCCTCCCCCGACGGTTCATCCAGGTCACATCGACAATCACGAGAAGTCAGAATGAGGGTGATGTATTCCTGCCTGATGCAGCTATGGATTGGGTTGCCACTCCCCCCATCAGATCTATAATATGAACAGTGTTTGAACAGGGTCATCGAAACCACTTTTTGCAAACACCATCGGGAATGGCAACACGTGGAGCTAAAGATTCATTCATGAGCTATGGGCCCATGCATCCTTGGATTCTAGTGGCGACATTATGTACCATGCCATCATCTGGTTCTTCCAAGTGACCTGATCCCCTGGTTTGAGGTCACCCATAGGCATGTATATATATAAGGGTTAGGGATTCAAAAAAGGTCACTTAAAGAGCCAGGACTATGGGCGGAAAACAAAGAAAAAATGTCGACTAAAGCTATGAGCTCAAGTACTGGGTCAAGAACGGTCGGAGAAATGCTGTTGCTGCACATGAGACACACAGCCGCTCTTCCGACAGAGCTAGCAGGAACTCATACCATTGCTCTCGAGTCATCCTTGTTCTTTTCAATCTTTTCATTTGAACCCCTTCCCGGCCCTTCCCCGAAAGAGAGCACTTTATGGCTGTTGGTGAAAGATGCATACATCGAATCAACAAATGTGCACATGGAACAGCTAATCATAACCTGTATCGATGACTCGATCTGGAACAATTTCCCATGACTTAAGATTGCCCTTTTCACTTCTTAAGTAATTGTCGCCACCTAGCTTTGTGGCTGCCCTTGACAAAGTCATCAAAGCGACCCATCCGAATCAGGTTCAGAGTCGCACGGGTCGTTGGGCTCCACTGAAATCGCCTGAGATCATCGTGCATGATGTGTCAATCCAAGACCTATATCAGGTTCTTCATTTAAAAGTACCATGGTTCTTCTAGCTAGGTCATTTATACTTAGGGCCTCAAATGGTCACAACCGGGAACTCCAAAATGTCGACTTTGAAGATCGCTGGATTGCAGTAACGTTTTTGGTATATTTGTTTGAAGGGCAGTGTATGACACAAAGCTTGAAACCCATCAACTGGCAGTGGATCCATCAAAAAGCTGGACCATGTCGTGGAATATAGATAGGGCAGGACGATTATATTATTAGAGTCTTAGGAACATCAAGCTGTCCATGTGTCATTGTCCTATGCCGACCCAGTGAAGTTGGCTTTTAGTCTCAACAACTCGAGTGCTCTAATTTTTTTGAACCCAGTGGCAGGATCTTCGATTGGTTCACCATGTGGATGAACCAATGCTGCAACAGCCAACCCAAAAGAAACTGGATATGAAGCCGAGACCTCAAGTTGTTTCTTATTGCCCGTGACCTGAACTTTGCCAGTCTTCTTGTTCACGGTCTTCCGAACCAAAGCCGTCTTTGATTTGGTCCTCTCGAGAAAGCTGTTGGCACAAGAGCAGCGTTGGCACGAGACTAGCATTGGGTGGTCCAGACTGAACCCTTTAAAACCAAGACTGATGAAATATGAAAGATCTACTAGCTGGCTTTGTGACACTTAACGATCAAAGCTCGCTGTAATTATCATGACAACCAACCACAGTGCAGTAGAACTGGCTTGATTTGATGCATGTTTGAACTCCCTATACCAAACTGCTACATGCAGATCATATCAAATATTCCATGACCTTTGCCCATGCTGCCTCTCCAGGGCCTCTTTGATGTGCTTGACACGCAAAGGACGGTGTAGGGAATGGAGGCGGTCCAATGTGCCCCAACACCTGAAAGTCGATCAAAGGCCGGGGTACTAGAACAAATATTGCAAGGCTCAGAAAATCTCAGATATGGTATACCATTGGCCTTTCAAGTTCTCACCCCCAACCCAAAAAAAAGAACTTGTGATCCTTAGGAAAAGAAAACTTCCTCGAGTCATCGAGACACACTGTCATTTTCAAAGTGTTTGATCCATACGATCCCATGCTAAATGCCACTCTCCTGGATTTCCCACGCACGATCGACAGCCAGTGGGCTTTGTATATGAGAACATGTTCTGACAGCATGTAGGTCCTGGCTTTGGCCCAAAGGAGGAAGCGACGCATGGGTTTCCAGCACCAAAGAACCTCATCCCAAATGTTGGAATGTCGAGTATATAGTGCATGAGATCGATTTGCTATAGATGCAACCCAAGAAACACTCGATGCCGGCTGTTCCAAAAGTATCCGCACATTTCTCTTCACGGCGAAATACAATCTCGGTTGGCTGTGACATGTTTTTGGATCATGTGCATGTGATGTATATCATATCAAAACTCAAAAAAAAAGGATCGTCATAGTGCATGCAAACATGTACAGAATCCGTCGGCAAAATATGTTGGCTAATCGAACACACGCTTTCTTATTCCCTGCTGGGTTTGCCCATGTCCTCTCCGTTGGACTCCTCGCGAGGAATACCCAGCTGCTACAAGGTGGAGCGATTACAAGGAGCCCACCTGGTCGAGTGTTCCATACCTGGGCATAGCTGGGCAGGGGCGAGCCGAAGCTATAGATCTGACATAATATGCATGATTGGCTGGCATATTTGAACAAGTCGCCGCAGCAAGAACTGTAATCATACCAATGGTCCGAAAAAGGTTGTGATTGCCAGAGTACAGGACCTTAGATCGATATATGTTTCCAGTCTATATATAGGATGCATGCATATCGATTCGACTTTGGGGTTGCAAATTAGAGTACTGGTGAATTCTTACATGCATCCAAAAGTCGTCAAACTCCTGGCCCTTGTACCCTGAAAGCCTCATCGCCTTGCTGAGGTTAGCATCTCCAGCACATACCTCTACCTCAGCTAGTCATGAATAGAAACCGAGATACATTGACCCGCTTTAGCCCGACATATATCAAATGAACTGGTGGTCGACATTTTTGGCTAAGCCACAAAATCGTTGTGCTCCGAGGGTAGTCGCATTTGGGATAGAATGGCCAGCAACACCAACATATTTTTTGCCTTCATCACGATTAAAGGCAGTCAGCACGGGAGACAGCAGCTGGCTAAAAGGCCAAAAATGCTTCAGGCGGTAGGAGGTTTAAAGCTTGCATGTTGCATTCAGTGGTGCACAACAACTCAATACATAGATACGATATAGAGAAGTACATGCACCACTTGAGGTTTCAGCTGCTATGTTCAAGCACGCATGCTGAGTTTTCTTTGCTTCCCAAGCCCCAAGGTAAAGTGCATGGGCATTGATTTCACATGCCCATGAACGAGTGTATACCCTATGGTAGAAGTCCTCGACTGTGCCACCGCTTTACGCTTAGCTAGTGTTTTTTGAAGTCCAACACCGTGACAAATCAGGACACATCGAGGTCACAGCTACCGTCCTTGATGAAATCAAGTGTTCCCCCAAAAAGCAAACCCCTAGTCTTTCTTGGGCGCTTTCTTGGCACGAGGCTTTGCCTTTGCCTTGGCTCGCTTCTTGCGACCA